CACACACACACACACACACACACACACACACACATCAGGTTAAAACCGGAGCTCTGTTTGAACTTTTCACAGAAATGTTGTTTCAGATCTGAAAATATGTATAATTTGAGTATTGTGAGAGGAATACGGTCATAGCTGAACTACGTTTATAGAATTAAACGTAATTTTTTTAAATTTGCCATGAAATAATATATAATATAACCTTTAAGACATGATTCAAGTCTGAGACGGCAGCTCCAGGATGCACTGAAGACCRTTTAGTTTCAACTTGAAACCAGGCCTGATTGTTAGCAGGTTGTAGCAACAAAAATGTTAATAATGAACATATTGGAAAACATTAAATTAGGATTTATTGAAGGCATGCATGGCCACWGCCACTCTTCTGCCATGCAGTTCTTGTCTGATCCTTTAGTGCTCAGAGTATGCTTTGAGAATGACTCTCAGCTACTACCACACCAAATGCAACATCTGTAAAATTAACTGATAGCCATTTTGCACTTTGAATCAGACTCCAAAAGCTAATCAGTTGCATTTTGAACATCTAATTATTATCTCAAACAGTTTCATTCAAATCTGTCCAGAGAGTCCTGAGATATTTTGCTAACAGAACATAAATGATCACACAGCCATAGGCAATGACACGATGGCCAAACAACCACRAAATGAATCAGGCTGACAGAGGCTGGGACTTGGTTTTGGAGCGGTTGTCTTTCCCTGCATCGTGTTGACACTGTCCCACCCCCACCCACRTTTCCCTTGAATGGACATGTTCACTAGTTTAAAAGATAATAAAAGTGCTTTATATGCAGCGTTCATATAAGAAGGGACTGCATGTGTGAAAACGTGTGAATAAGAAATGTGCTGTAAAGTGCTGTKAAGAAGAAACTGTCTGGGACCATATATTAAATAAATAAAGAACTTAATTTTTCAATGCTGCCTGGAAAAGATGTCTTCCTGTGAATTTGTTTGCTTAGACTAGACAGAACACTGTTTCATGTTGTACATTTTGGTTCTGGATATCTGTTGGAGTTTAATTGTTTTTCTTTGTTTTTTTTTTTGTTTTTTTTTGGTTTGTCTTTTGTTTTTTGTTTCCTCCTGAGGAGCCCTCTAACTCCTCTGTGGATCATCCTTCAGTAATCAGATTGTAACACTTGTAACTGACAGAAACTTATCCACGTCCTAATCCCGTATCTGAGACGTCAGTTTGTCAAAGGGGAAGTGTCCAGAGTGGCTGTTATTGTTGGCAAGATTTTTTTTTTACAAGCAAGCGGGTCAACTCAGCAAACAGCCAAAACAATGCTTAGTTAGTTTAGGCTTAACAGACATGGACTGAAGTCCTGCTGTCTTTGTAGGAAATGCAGGAACCATTAACTGTAATCATGTAGAAAAAGACTTGAGCAAACTCGTAAAGAATGAACAGTAGGATTTAAAGGAATAAATAGCTCTGAGTTTCTCAATGTTTTCAGGGGAAATGAAAATGAAGCAAAAATGTAAAATATCTAAAATGAATAATAAAGATACAACTACATACAAACATCCAGGCCTTAATCAGCATTTAAAGAGAATATTTTACTTACTTATGAGCATCATTAGTATTAGTTTTGCTGTGTTTTTAAAGCTGAAACTCAAAAGATAATTTATTGCCACAATGCCATTAGGTGTTATATTATACTCAGAATTATAAATGCAACCACAAAAACAAATAAAACAATCTTTATT